GTGTGTGTGTGTGTGTGTATGTGTGTGTTTTCTGTCTTTCACAACACTGACATTTTTGAAGCATCTAGACAGAATATCCCACAGTTTGGCTTTGTCTAATTACTTCATGATTTTATTTGGATTAAACATTTTATCAATGTGGTATATTTTTTATTCTGTACATTTTTTTTCTTACTGGCTAAGTAGATTGTCAATATTGTGCATGCTGTGGGAATTTATTAAATACTCTGTGTTAATAACTTGCTGAATGGATCATTTATGCCTGTTCTAGAAGTAGGTTTCTTTTTACCTATGAGATTATTGCTTGGCTGTGGCTTGGAGGCCTAGAACAGTGCTGGGCATAGAGTAGGCCCTCAGTATCTGTTAAATATACCTATTATCTCAGTAGCTGAGAAGCTTACTGGGCCTGGCTGGGGGCTCTAGGCTCCTTCAGTTTGTAATAGACAGCCTTAGCATCATGTGTGGTGGTCGGCACATGCTGTAGTAGGTACACAAGCATTTTTGCTAAATATTTATTGAATTGAGGAAAACATCTGAAAATGTTGTTAGCTCCAGATTCAATAATTAAGAGTATTTTTAAAAGTTTTGCTTTGTTTTTCTTATTGTGGTAAAATATACTTAACAAAACTTAACATTTTAACTTTTTTTTTTAGCTGAGCCATCCTGTCACCTGTTGGCAGCTCAGCAGCAGCTCAGCTCGGGCCGTGAATTGAACCGGCGACTCTGTTGCTCAGAGCTTGCATTCTTGAGCGAGCTCTTAACCAGCTGAGCCACTCGGCCGGCTTAACTATTTTTTTTTATTTTTTTTTATTTTTTTTGTTTTTTATTTTTTTTGTTTTTTAGCTGAGCCATCCCGCCTGGCTTAACTATTTTTAAATGCACAATTCACTGGCTTTAAGTATATCCATACTTTTGTGCAACCATTACCACTATCCATTTCCAGAACTTTTTCCCAAACAGAAACTCTCACCATTAAGCAGTAACTCCCACAATTAACCCCTCTCCTCAACCCTTGGTAACCTCTGTTCTACTTTCTGTCTCAATGGATTTGACTGTTCATGTAAGTGGAATCATACAACACTTGTCCTTTTTTTGTCTGTCTTATCTCACTTGCCTAATGTTTTTGAGGTTCACCCTTTTTGTAGCATAATTAAGAGTATTTTTGTTTAAACTTTATGTTTCAGGGAACAGAATTTGTCAAACAGAACATTGTGCTATCCAGTGGATTTGTGGGAGGCTTTTTGCTAGGCCTTGCATCTTAAGGATATGAATATTCTACCACAGTGGAGTCACCTAGGAGAAGAGAAGTGGTGGCGACAAGGTGGGCTGTCAACATTACACGTCGCCAGACTCTCCGGGGTGACGAGAAACAACTAGCTGGACAATATCAAACTCACAACTTAGCGTTTTGCCATCTGCAGTTTGGCAAACTAGTATCTGCTATAAAACAACCTATATGGTACGTGTACAATAGTATTCCTGAGCAAAACATGGCTTTCATTTGTTTAAATCAGATGTTCTTTATTGTGCTTTGTAGTATAGTGCTGATAATTACAAATCTGTATTATAGCTTCAAAATTAGGGCTGACTTGTTTTGAAAGATACGTTTGCAATAAAATGAAGAGCTGTAATGCCCTTTTGTGGAAGGATTTAGAAATAGTAGATTATTAATGACGTGAAAGCAGATTTAATACCAATTTTTAGGTTGTTGTTCCCTGCAGCTCTTACTTTGCTCATATAATGACCATAGTAAACAGTTTCAAGAAAGGCTCTTCTAAGGAAATGTTACATGTTTAAAGCTCTTTTTGTTTTTTCTTTTTGATGTCTGTAGTTGTAAAAGTATATCTTCTTGTATGTAAGCTTCTAATGTTTTTATTGATATATTTATCCTGGCAGCCTAAGCAGAACTATTTTGAGGGTACATATAGTTGGGTCACTGATTCATTTTATTAACTTTGAGTGAATCTCCTTTCCCATTTCTAAAAGTCGTAATTATAATTTTGGCCTCTTCTTCACAAAGAGGTAAAAATCACCTGAAAATACTCAGTAGTATAGTATGAATTTACTGTCTAAAGAACAGAGATTTTTCTATATAATCATTAAATTGTAGCTTAAACAGAATTATCTCCTTGATCTTGTCTGACAGTAAGTGCTAAGGCTTTCAAATTTTTGGTAGCATTTTGTTGGCTGAACACTAGGCTATTTGACTTGATTCTCAGGGCTGACATCACACTCCCTTTGTGGCTTCTTTGCCCAGAAAAGCTTTCTGTATTGCTTGTTTTGTCTGTAGAGTTCTAGGTTGGAATTGGAAAAAATATCAGAACAAGTGTTGGAGTCTTCAGATTGGAAAGACTTTGCTGATATTCAGACTATCTCCTTTTGATAGGAAGTGCTCATAGTATATTTTGTGTATTGTAAAATAAGGCATTTGATACTTTCAAGATTGGTTACAGTTTGTGTGCTTTCATTATTGTAAGACCCCTTAAAATTGAATGTGGGATTGATCTTTCTTTTCTTTTCTTGACTTTCATTAGTGCCTCAGACACAATGCTAAATAAAACTCAGACTTTCTTAATATGAAGTGATTTTGCTTATAAATATTTGTTTTTTTCTGCTTTGAGCTTTTCTCTATTTCTGCCTTACCAAGCTATTCATTGCTGTGGAATTAAAAGGGAGAAATATTCTACATTAGGTAGAACTTTGGCTGCGCTTCTCTGCTCCCTATCTGTGTGATGCTTTCATCTGGTACAGTGGGGTGGGCTACTGTGGGGAGCTCTAGTAGCTGGCTCAATTTATTCATTTTGGAAATATTTATAGTGTCTGTTCTGTGTATGATACACTGGGGAAGTGGGGGGAGGGGTGCACAAAAGCGTCTGCCATCAAATAGAGACTAAAATATTTCCATATGAAAAGTTATAATAAAATAGGAGAACCTGGATATGATTTGGTAGCAAATGAGTCATAGGGATAACTGCTTTCAGAGTCCAAACATGAATGAAAACTGAAAAAGAGAGCACTTCATTTTTACCTATACATTTCTAAGTATGTGTTGATTTGTTTGAAAATACTTGTATAAAATGCAAAATATTACCAGTGCTCTCCATACTGCCTCCTCTCTCTTAGTGCCACTTGTTCTGCCTCATGTGTGCACCATTTCCCCACTAGCTAATATGCTACTTAAAGCAGTTGTATGTGTTAATCACTAACCTGTGGCTCACACTATGTAATGCTTTGCTCACGGTAGGTATTCAGTTAATACGGATGAGTGAAGGAGCATGTGAAAAATATATAATTGTGCTAAAGTTGGTGTCAACCTATAGGAAACCTATAGCAGTCTAGTGAATCAGGCTCCATCAGAAAGGACTTGGTGGGGCTTGGTTGGAATGAAAAGCCTATAGCCTGCCTTTGTTTAAAATGGGGATTTTTATATTTGAGGGCATGAAGGCTGTTTGCAAGATTTATTAAAACTTGAGTATATGGAATATAGGCATTTTGTGGTACAGGCTTCGGAAGCTATATAAGAACATTTTGACTGATTTTTAATTTTTGTTCTTATATCCCTCTCCAACCCCCCTCACAAGAAAAGATGATTTTTAATAAGCAATATGAATGAAATATGTTCATTATAGAAAAATATATGACCATAAAGAATATACAGAATGTTTCTAATATGTTTTATTTAGAGATAATTGTTGTCCATATTTTGGTAGATAACCTTTGGAGTCTTTCCACCTGTGTATGAGCACATGCCATGTGTATTTTGTATAAAAATTGAGTCATAGTTGAGTTACTATTTTATAAGTAGTTATTTTCAGTTACATTTTAGGAATATGGTTTTATAATAGTAGGTACATTTTTGATGAAAGAAAATAAGTGCCTATCCTTATCTCCTTTTATGAAACAGCCATTAATAATAGTTCTTTTTATATACTATATTTTAATAGTTATATTACTTTTATTGTTCAAGTTTGGAGAGTGTATATTGAATGCCCACTGTGAAAGGTAAGGAATTTTGTGCACATCCACCATGCCCTCCCTTTTTTATTGCTAATGTATTTGTAGTTTTTTTAGTAGATGCCTTTATTACTTTAAATAACATATTTTTCTGTCTTTATTTACCAACTTTAGATAATATCTGCTAACTCCCTGTAATTAAAGATGAAGAAAATAAGCATACATTTTCCCTGCTATCCTCTGGCCTTCTGATTTTTATTAAATTACTATTACTTTTAATATTACATTCAAGTGATAGAATTCTGTGCAATTATTAAGAGGAATGTAGAACTATATACATCGATCTAATAAGATCCACATGATAGTGATAAAAATCAGGTTACAAACAGTGTGATCCCACTATTTTGAAAAACTACGGGTGAGTATAAGTATGCACACAGATATTCATAGAGGCTATCTCTGAGAGCTTGGTATATAAGGATTTTCACCTGGTATTTTCAACACTTTTATGTTGTCTGAAGTCTTTATAGTGAGTACATATTAATTTGTCGTTAGCAAAAGTTATTTTTTTAAGAATCAGGAATAGGGATTCAATAGATTATTGCTATTTTAGGGGCCTTTTTGTTTTTAACTTTTCTGCTTCATTCACTGAATTTATTTTTTAAGTTTTTGTCAAAATAATGCACATAGTGCAAGAAATTAAATGGTATTTGGTGACAAATACAGCTTCTAAAAAAAGGAGCTCTTCTCTGCTCTACTTCTCTCCGACTTAGTGGCTTTTTCCCCAGCAGAGTGTCACCTGTATTGGTTGTTTCTCTTGGTATTTTCTACAACCGTATTTCTTAGACTTTCTATTGTGATAAATGGCTTGACTTGGACTTCCTATTATGGTAGATAAGGATTTAGCTCTATAGCACCTTCCTTTTTGCATCCTTGCAGTAACAATTTATTAAATTCTTATAAAGTTTTATACATTACTATGACAAATATTGTTTACTATTGAATAAGGACACAACTTCCTACAGGTACCTTTATGTGGGTTCAGTTGGAATCTAGCTTTAGCCTGATCCTGCGACTAGCTCTGGAGCATGAAAGGCACTGTGGCTGGTAGAATAATGGCTCCTCAAAGATCTTCACATCCTAATCCCCTGAACCTGTGAATACATTAGGCTATATGGCAAAGGAGAATAAAGGTTGCAAATGCAATTAAAGTTGCTACTCAACCAACCTCAAAGAGATTATTCTGGAGTATCCTAGTGGGCCCAATGTAATCACAAGAGTCCTTAAAAGAAAAAGAGTGAGGCAGAAGAGAATGTCAAAGAGGGAGATTTGACTATGGAAGAACGTTCAGACAGATGCTATGTTGTGGCTTTGAAGATGGAGGAAGGAGGCCATGAGCCAAGGATTGCTGATGGCCTCTTGAAGCTAGAAACAGCAAGAACACGGACTCTGTCCTGTTGCCTCCAGAGAGGAACACAGCCCTGCTGACAACTTGATCTTAGCCCGGTGACACCCATGTTGGACTTCTTACCTCCACACCTATAAGGTAATAAATTTGTGTTGTCTTAAGCCAGTGTATTTGTGATAGTTTGTTATAGCAGCAATAGAAAACTAATGCTGGCACCACTGAGTTGTCCTCTCTCGTGGCAAGGGAGCTGGCTTTTTGTATCCCCATTTCAAGCATTGGCTGCAGTCTGCCCTTAGGGGTTGGGTGAGTAACCTCCCAACCAGGAAGCACCTGTCCTGTTGAGAGCAATTCCCAGGAGAATGGTGCAACTGTCAGCCATAGCAGCTGATACTGTAGTTGGGCAGCTGGCCTAAAGAGATGGATCTCGGTGGGACACCAACAGTCTCCACTGCAGTAAATCTAAGCCAGCGCCGCATGTATAAAACAATAGTTATATCCTCTTGGGGGTGGAAGGGCAATAAAACAAATGTGGAACTGAAATATTTGGATTTGTAATGTAAAATACGAGTATTGTTCCAAAACATTGATTAATCTCACATTTAAGTTGAGCATGCATGTTAAAATTTTAAGAGCAATCCCTAAATGAATTACTATTGGTTATGAACAGATTGATACATTTCAAACATACAAATAAGCAATCTAATCTAAATGCAGGAGAGGAAGAAGAAAGAAGCAAAGAGAAAGCAGAATAAATAGGAAACATAAAATAAGATGGTGAAAATAAATCCAAACATATCAGTAATCACACTTCAATAGAAGTGAACAGAATTCACAGTGATTTTATATCAACATCACTATGCACCTCAAGCAGTGGGATTAGAGCTACAGAAAAGGAAATGTTTAGAAAACATCACTATTCAGTTGAGAATTAGCCAAGCCTCAATATGTAATAAAGCCTCTTAATTTTCCTTCTAATCTTCCTGCCACCAGCCCCAATTTGGGATAGACTCAGCACTTACTGTTTCTTATATCTCGTGTGTTCTTTCTTGGATTACTTATATTTTTGGTTGAGCTACTATTTTTTAATTAAATTTTTTTGGGTGACATTGGTTAGTAAAATTATATAGGTTTCAAGTGTGTATAAATAATATAGTCTATGAGGTCTGACAATTAAGTTCACGAACTCATCCTAGAAAAAGTGCTACATACTTCATTGCTGAATATCACTACGGTCACCTTCAAAGTACTCCCCTTAGGAAGCTATGCACCTAGTCCACCCTTCAAAGCAATTTTGGAACTCTTTTTCTGTAATGGCCATCAGAGCTGTCGTCATATTACCCTTGATGTCCTGAATGTCATCAAAATGTCTTCCTTTCAATATTTCCTTTATCTTCGGGTAAAGAAAGAAGTCATTGGGGGCCAGATCAGGTGAGTAGGGAGGGTGTTCCAATACAGTTATTTGTTTACTGGCTAAAAACTCCCTCACAGACAGTGCCGTGTGAGCTGGTGCATTGTCATGATGCAAGAGCCATGAATTGTTGGTGAAAAGTTCAGGTCATCTAACTTTTTCATGCAGGCTTTCAGCGCTTCCAAAGAGGAAACTTGGTTAACTGTTTGTCCAGTTGGTAGAAATTCATAATGAATAATACCTCTGATATCAAAAAAGGTTAGCAACATCATTGCAACAAGTTTGTAAACTTAATTGTCAGACTTCATATAATACATCATCTATATATCACATTGTGTGTTCACCACCCAGAGTCAGTTCTCCTTCCATCACCATATATTTGACCCCCTTTATGCTTTTCTACCACCCTCCTCCCCCTTACCCTTTGGTGACCACCAAACTGTTGTCTGTGTCTGTGAGTGTCTTATTCGTTTGTTGCTTTCAGTTTTACTTCCTACATATGAGTGAAGTCATATGGTTCTCGACTCTTCCTGTCTGACTTAATTCACTTAGCATAATAATCTCAAGATCCATCCATGTTGTCACAAATGGAAGTATTTCATCTTTTCTTGTGGCTGAGTAATACTCCATTGTGTATATATACCACATCTTGTTTACCCAATCATCCATTGGAGGACATTTTGGTTGTTTCCATGTCTTCACTGAATAATGCTCCAATGAAAATGGGGATATATATATCTTTATGGATAAATATTTTCAGATATTTTTGGTAGATATGCAGAAGAGCGATTTATGGGGTTGTATGGTAATTATATTTAAAAATTTTTGAGGAACCTCTGTACTGTTTTCCATAGTGGCTGTACCAGTTTACATTCCCACCAGCAGTGTAGGAGGGTTCCTTTTTCCCCACAGCCTCTCCAATACTTGTTATTACTTGTCTTGTTGATAATAGCCATTCTAACAGGTGTGAGTGGTATCTCATGTGTGGTATTGATTTACATTTCCTTAATAGCTAGTGAAGTTGAACATTTTTTCATATATCTGTTGGCTATTTGTATGTCTTCTTGGGAGAAGTGTCTGTTCAGGCCTTCTGCCCATTTTTTAATTGGATTGTTTTGTTGTTGAGTTGCATGAGTTCTTCATATATTTTGGATATTAGCACCTTATCGGAGGCATTGTTTGCAAATACCTTGTCCCACTTGGTTGTTTGCCTCTTTGTTTTGTTGATGGTTTCTTTTGCTGTGCAGAAGCTTTTTATATAGTTTGATATAGTACCATTCATTTATTTTTGCTTTTACTTCCCTTGTGTTTGAGGTCAAATTCATAAAATCCTCTCTGAACTCAAGGTCCATACGTTTAATACCTCTGCCCTCTTCTATGCAGTTTATTGTTTCAGGTCTTATGTTTAGGTCTTTGATCCACTTTGAGTTAATTTTGGTATATGGTGACAGATAGAAGTCTAGTGTCATTCTTTTGCATGTGGCTTTCCTATTTTCCCAGCACCATTTATTGAAAAGGCTTTCTTATATACTAACAATGAAATTTCAGAAAAAGAAATGAAAAAAAGAAACAATTCCTTTTTCAATTGCAACAAAAAGAATAAAATACCTCAGAATAAACCTAACAAAGGATGTGAAGTACCTGTACACTGAAAACTACAAGACAGTGTTAAAAGAATTTGAAGAAGAGAGAAAGAAATGGAAAGATATTCCACGTTCATGGATTGGAAGAATCAACATAGTTAAAAATGGCCATATTACCCAAAGCAAAATACAGATTTAATGCAAACCCCATCAAAAGCCCAGTGGCATTTTTTCAGGAAATAAAACAAAAATTCATCAGATTTGTATGGAATCACAAAAGACCCCAAATAGCCAAAGCACTCCTAAGAGAAAAAACAATGCTGGAGGTATCACACTCCCTGACTTTGGTTTATGCTACAAAGCGACAAAGCAGCATGGTATTGGTAGAAAAACAGACACACAGACCAATGGAATAGAATTGAGAACCCAAAAATAAACCCACATACATTGGACAGATAACTTTTGACAAGCCAAAAACATTCAATGGAGAAAAGACAGCCTCTTCAATAAATGGTGCTGGGAAAATTGGAAAGCCATGTGCAAAAGAATGACACTAGACTGCTCTCTGTCACTGTGTACCAAAATTAACTCAAAATGGATCAAAGAACTACACATAAAACCTGAAACAATAAACTTCATAGAAGAAAACATAGGTGCTAAACTTATGGACCTTGGGCTCAAAGAGCATTTTATGAATTTGACTTCAAAGGCAAGGGAAATAAAAACTAAAATAAATGAATGGGCCAATATCAAACTAAAAAGCTTCTGCACAGCAAAAGAAACCATTGACAAAATAAAGAGGCAACCAACCAAATGGGAGAAGATTTTTGTAAACAACGCCTCTGTTAAGGGGCTAATATCCAAAATATATAAGGAACTCATACAACTCAACAACAAAAAAACCAAGCAGTTCAATTAAAAAATGGGCAGAGGACCTGAATAGATAT